ACAGAGAGAGAGAGAAAGAAAGAAACAGCAATCACAGTAATACATTGAACTTTTAGAAGGAGAAAAAAGAATTGTGGTTACTAGAGGCAGAAAAGGAGAGGGGAGGAGTGGGGGAGAGAAAGGGGAATTAACAAGAAATTGGTTAACAGACACAAAGAATGATTATGTTGTGACGATAAGCTAACTATCCTGATCTAACTATCACGCATTGTACAAAACTATTGAAGACGGAGAGAAAGGGGAATTAACAAGAAATTGGTTAACAGACACAAAGAATGATTATGTTGTGACAATAAGCTAACTATCCTGATCTAACTATCACGCATTGTACAAAACTATTGAAGATCAACTTTGTACCCCACATATCTGTATAATAAATTATTTCAGAAAACACAATTTTAAAAAAAAGTAGGGACCCACATGGTGCCGGTGACCCCTCCCCACTCCTTGGACCTGGAGGGGAGCACCAGCCCCCACTGCCTGACCCACCAAGGTGAGCCAGCTGGTGGCTCATTCTATGACCACAGATTCTGGAACAGGACCCAAGGTGGTTTAACATAACCCAGAACCAACACCACACCTACTGTCAAGCAAAGAAAATTCACCACCACAGTAGCAGCCAGGGCCACTCATCTGTATTATTCCTTACCTGTGCCACTTTGTTTTAATTTGTAACTTCTAGACACACAATGTTCTTCCATATAAAATAGAATAATAACACTATCAGTAAAAGTATTTCATTGATGAAGCCATATATAAAAATGTATTTTGACTTGTAAAACACATTGTGATTTTTATTTGATCTTATGTTAATATTATTTGGAATAATAATAATTACTTTAATTTCCACACAAAGTTGAGAAAAAGTTGATTAATTATGAAAATTTGTAACACTTCTGGGAGATTTTTCACAATGTTCTTCCTTGGGTAATTTTACAATACATATTAATTGATAATAGTGAGAAAACCCAGTTCCCCCAAGGTCTTCCCAGACTCAAAACGTTTCATCATTCCTCTTTAGGGAAACCTGCTTAGTTTTCTTTCACATTGAAGATGCTTCTCCTCTGAATCATATAAATAAAGAGGATTTCTGTGGATGAGCACATGAACTGAGAGAGGTGAGAGGCAAGGACTGCTTCCTGACACAATCATGTAAGATCCCAGTGGTAAGTGGGAAGAATGGTTTAATGAAGGTTTATACTCTTAGTCATGCTTAGGTAGAAGGGGAACGAAACATTTCCTGCTTTAGAAGAGTTAGATATTTTTCTCTCCAGAACAAACTTTGGGTAAATCATCATCACAGAAAAGCCCATTAAACCTAATTAGGGTATACCGGGAGAGAAATTGTTATTAAAATGATGATAAATGTTTTACAGAGTTCTCCAATTCAAATAAATTTGCGTAAAAGCTCTGGATTTTACATCAAGTTTTTTTCTTTCAACATTTAGGACATACATTAAATTTCAAATTGATTTCTAATAAACTGTAGACCTAAAATGAGTATTTGTGTTTTTATTTTTTACCACAAAAATTCACTAATCTATTTCAACAAACATTTACTAAGAACCTAGGAGTTACTAATTTATGAGGCATCTACATGAATAAAAATTTTGTAAGTCTGTGGAAGAATTAAGATTTGTTTAAAGAGATAACATATAATGAATTCAGTTTTGTACAAGGGTATTTCAAAAAGTTTTTGCAAAGATTTTTATTATCTTTTAATAATATTTTTCCATGAACTTTTTGAAGTACCCGCATATATAGATAATATGAGACACGACTGTTGTGAAATCTAGTGGAAATGCCCAGCAATTAGCTAAGATTGTAAATCTGAAGATGCAAAAGATAGAGGGGCTGAAGAAATAAACTGGTTATTTATCTGTGCCAAATCAGTAACTGAAGTCATAAAGAGGAAGGAAATGAGTAAAGGAGAAAGGAGATCAGATATCTGATTAGGGAACTTTGGAGATGAATGCAGGTGAAAGGAAAAAAATGGAAGTTGCATAGAGGGGAATACTAGTGGAAAAACTCACTGAAAAGAATTGTTTGTAAAGGCAGCAGGAGGGCAGTTTCAATATTGGACATATTGACCTGCCATAGAGAAGTCAAGCAAAAAATAATTTAGAACACAACACTGGTTTAGAAACTAGGAACTCTGTGTATTTGAGAGGTCTATTTATTTTATTTTATTTTATTTTGTCAATATACAATGTGGTTGATTATTGTGGCCAATTACCAAAAACTCCCCCCCTCCTCCCACTCCCCCTCCCTCCCAACAATGTCCTTTCTGTATGCTTGTTGTATCAACTTCAAGGAATAGTAATTGTTATGTCTTCTTCCCTCCCCCCCGTTTTTTTTTTTTTTTGTTGTTTGTTTTTTTTTG